CTAGATAAAGCTAACGGTGAATCTGTGAGATGATGTTTTGCCTGTCTTAGCTGTATTTACCCTAGATACAGCTAATGGTGAGTCTGTGAGATAATGTTTTGCCTGTCCTGCTCCCTAGATCAGCTCCTGTTTTATCTCAGCTGTATTTACCCTAGATACAGCTAACGGTGAGTCTGTGAGATAATGTTTTGCCTGTCGTATCTCAGCTGTATTTACCCTAGATACAGCTAACGGTGAGTCTGTGAGATAATGTTTTGCCTGTTTTATCTCAGCTGTATTTACCCTAGATACAGCTAACGGTGAGTCTGTGAGATAATGTTTTGCCTGTCCCTATCTCAGTGTATTTCCCTAGATACAGCTCGGTGAGCTGTGTATTCAGCTGTATTTACCCTAGATACAGCTGATGGTGAATCTGTGAGATAATGTTTTGCCTGTCCCTATCTCAGCTGTATTTCCCTAGATACAGCTAACGGTGAGTCTGTGAGATAATGTTTTGCCTGTCCTTATCTCAGCTGTATTTACTCTAGATACAGCTAATGTTGAGTCTGTGAGATAATGGTTTGCCTGTCCTATCTCAGCTGTATTTACCCTAGATACAGCTAACGGTGAATCTGTGAGATGATGTTTTGCCTGTCCTTATCTCAGCTGTATTTACCCTAGATACAGCTAACGGTGAGTCTGTGAGATAATGTTTTGCCTGTCCCTATCTCAGCTGTATTTACCCTAGATAAAGCTAACGGTGAATCTGTGAGATGATGTTTTGCCTGTCCCCATCTCAGCTGTATTTACCCTAGATAAAGCTAACGGTGAATCTGTGAGATGATGTTTTGCCTGTCTTAGCTGTATTTACCCTAGATACAGCTAACGGTGAGTCTGTGAGATAATGTTTTGCCTGTCGTATCTCAGCTGTATTTACCCTAGATACAGCTAACAGTGAGTCTGTGAGATGATGTTTTGTCTATCCTATCTCAGCTGTATTTACGCTAGATACAGCTAACGGTGAATCTGTGCATCTGTTGCAGGACACCGTTGCAAAACAAGCTCAGCATGTGTTCACTGTTTTTGGTTGTACTCAACACCATAACATTTAGTAGTTTGCCCCTGCTTTCTGAGCACTTGACGCTATACCAATGTTAACATGAAGGCATGAGGTCAGTTGTCAAATCGTCTGCAGTTGGCTTCAACCCAGGTCTATCAGAATTATGTTAGTTTATTCATAGCTGTGGACTCGTTCTGTCTTGAGCAACTGACGCTGGTGATCACTGACATGACATATCTACCAAAAATGTGGTCCTGCTCTGTACATTCAATAACATGGCTGGCTGTGTCTATTATATGCCTAAAATTGCACGGGGAGATTGCAAACATTGAAAATGACAGACTGGCAAGTTCATAGGTCAGCTAGCTAAGACCTCCCAATTGTATCATTAACAACCGCTTGATCTCCTTGTCTTCGAGTTACTCACATGAATAAATATAATTGAGCTGAATATAAACGGATGGAATAAACAAACCATTCAACATTAGAAAGAAAAAAAAATTGACAATTGGTGAACCCGACATGAGATATTTTTACAGCTGAGTGACAACTGGCAAAACATGGTTCACAAGAGCAAAAAGTACAAGTAGATTTAACTATTGTATAAACTTTTCTGCATCCCAGCGCAGAGGGGGAAAGATTGAAATAAATGTCTCTACATCCCCAGGTAGAAGCGAAAACTAAACCTACAACCCAGCACAGAAGGGGGAAGATTTAACTTCTCTACATCCCAGGCAGAAGGGAAAATATTTATCTTCAACTTCTTTACATCCCAGGGTAAAAGAGGTAAGACAACTAAACTTCTCTACATCCTCGGGTAGAAGGGGACATATTTAATTAAACTTCTCTACTCCCGAGGTAGAACAGAAAACTGAATAAAACTTTTCTACATCTAAGGGAAGAAGAGGACAGATTTAACTAAACTTCTCTACATCAAAGGGTAGAAGGGGAAAGATTCAACTAAATGTCTCTACATCCCAGGGCAGAGGGTAAAAGATTAAACTTCTCCACATCCCAGGGCAGAAGGTAAAAGATTAAACTTCTCCACATCCCAGGGCAGAAAGGAAAAGATTAAACTAAACGTCTCTACATCTTAAGGCAGAAGGGGAAAGATTTAATTAAACCTCTATATCCAATGGCAGAAGGTAAAAGATTAAACTTCTCTACATCCTATAGCAGAAGGGGAAAGATTTAACTAAACCTCTATATCCAATGGCAGAAGGTAAAAGATTAAACTTCTCTACATCCCAGGGCAGAAGGTAAAAGATTAAACTTCTCTACATCCCAGGGCAGAAGGGGAAAGATTAAACTTCTCTACATCCTATAGCAAAAGGGGAAAGATTAAACTTCTCTACATCCTATAGCAGAAGGGGAAAGATTAAACTTCTCTACATCCTATAGCAGAAGGGGAAAGATTAAACTTCTCTACATCCTATAGCAGAAGGGGAAAGATTAAACTTCTCTACATCCTATAGCAGAAGGGGAAAGATTAAACTTCTCTACATCCTATAGCAGAAGGGGAAAGATTTAACTTCTCTACATCCTATAGCAGAAGGGGAAAGATTTAACTTCTCTACATCCTATAGCAGAAGGGAAAAGATTTAACTTCTCTACATCCTATAGCAGAAGGGGAAAGATTAAACTTCTCTACATCCTATAGCAGAAGGGGAAAGATTTAACTTCTCTACATCCTATAGCAGAAGGGGAAAGATTTAACTTCTCTACATCCTATAGCAGAAGGGGAAAGATTTAACTTCTTTACATCCTATAGCAGAAGGGGAAAGATTTAACTTCTCTACATCCCAGGGCAGAAGGGGAAAGATTAAACTTCTCTACATCCCAGGGCAGAAGGGGAAAGATTTAACCAAACGTCCATATCAAAGGACAGAAGGGGAAATATTCAACTCAACTTCTCTACATCCCAGGGCAGAAGGGGAAAGATTAAACTAAACTTCTCTACATCCTAGAGTAGAAGGGGAAATATTAAACTAAATTTCTCTACATTTACGGATAGAAGTGCAATGTGGCTCTGTCTGGGGTTTGACTGAATTCGTCACATTGCTACACTGACACTTTTAGTTACATAAAGTTCCTAGGAATACACCAGACGACCAACACGTAGTTATTGATCTTTATTCGCTGTTCCAGCAACCGCACTATACAGTCGCTCACTTGTGTCCTCGTAGATGCTACGCATGGCTGATTTATGACATTTCCAACTACCTCACACTGTGATTCTTTCTGCCATTACCTCTTGAATCATACATCTGGATCAGGCTAACGTCTTATTCCTTGTACCTGGACACAATCGAACTTGCAGTCAATAGACAATCCCTTCTGCTATCGAACAATTACACGTGGTCAGATGATCTGCATTCTTCTCAGCTGTTCTCTTGCATTCGACTGCACACATTCAGGTCCAAACTTCAGCTGAATTCCTACCCTCTCTGGGTTCACACATTCGTTTCTAGTCTCACGCTTTCCTCACATCCCTATTTACCCACCACGGGTTATTTGAAGCATGCTTTGCACACTTTTGTCTTATTTCACTGGTCCTCTGACCTTCTCCCACCCATGGGGAACTCTCTGAGATTTCACCGGGAATCCACAACATTAAACAAGGGGAGAGATATGAGACACATGTACATCTATAAATAATAAGACTAGACATCAAACAATCAGAGACACTGGATAAATTATATATTTTAATGCCAAATGTGTATATCCACAAAGTTGGTGGGGGTAATGACAGTCAGTGACTGAATGAGGAATCAAGAGGAATCAAACTCAGGTACATTAGAGCAAATGAATGTATATCAGAGCAAAATTGTGTACATGAGAGCAAACATGCGTACATCAGGTCAAAACATCAAATAAGACTTGCTCTCCAGATAAATATGTAGTATAAATTAAAGCATAGGTATAAATAGTCAACATACAAATAAAGTCAATACATACATGCTGTCACACATACATAAAATGTTACATATTCATGATGTCCCACATATACAAAGTCAACATATAGGTGAACATAGAGTCATACATACATAAATTCAACACATACATGAAATCACACGTGCGTACACTGAGTTAAATATGTGAACATCCTATTAAACATAAAGAACATGTTCAAAAACTACATGTAGTCAAAATATATGACATGTGTAGACACATACTGTCAATGGCACATATACATCAAGTGAAACAATGGAATGGAAACATCAACTGATACCTCAGTGACTGACATGAAGATGGAGGCTGGTATCAAAAGCTTCTCTAGAGCTCAAGTAAACAGATATCACAAGTGTAGGCAGAGAAAGTCAGGTTGATAGAGACATGCACACAAACATTCACAGACACGTGGATAGGATTTTTTAACTGCTGGCTGATGACAGTACTGACAACTTCCAACAGTGAGCAGAAGACAGTACTGACAACTGCGAACAGTGAGCAGAAGACAGTAATGACAACTGCGAACAGTGAACAGAAGACAGTAATTACAACTGCTAACAGTGAACAGAAGACAGTAATGACAACTACAAACAGTGAACAGAATACAGTAATGACAACTGCGAACAGTGAACAGAAGACAGTACTGACAACTGCCAACAGTGAACAGAAGACAGTACTGACAACTGCCAACAGTGAACAGAAGACAGTAATGACAACTGCCAACAGTGAGCAGAAGACAGTAATGACAACTGCGAACAGTGAACAGAAGACAGTACTGACAACTGTCAACAACAGTGAACAGAAGACAGTAATGACAACTGCGAACAGTGAACAGAAGACAGTACTGACAACTGCCAACAGTGAACAGAAGACAGTAATGACAACTGCCAACAGTGAACAGAAGACAGTACTGACAACTGCCAACAGTGAGCAGAAGACAGTAATGACAACTGCGAACAGTGAACAGAAGACAGTACTGACAACTACCAACAGTGAACAGAAGACAGTAATGACAACTGCGAACAGTGAACAGAAGACAGTACTGACAACTGCCAACAGTGAACAGAAGACAGTAATGACAACTGCGAACAGTGAACAGAAGACAGTACTGACAACTGCCAACAGTGAACAGAAGACAGTAATGACAACTGCCAACAGTGAACAGAAGACAATAATGACAACTGCCAACAGTGAACAGAAGACAGTACTGACAACTGCCAACAGTGAGCAAAAGACAGTAATGACAACTGCGAACAGTGAACAGAAGACAGTACTGACAACTGCCAACAGTGAGCAGAAGGAAGTACTGATAATGGCCAACAGTGAACAGAAGACAGTTCACCCCCCAGCTCACACCATGTGTTAGTCTCCCCCAGGTCACACCATGTGTTATTCACCCCCTGGTCACACCATGTGTTATTCACCCCCTGGTCACACCATATGTTAGTCACCCCCTGGTCACACCATGTGTTAGTCACTCCCAGGTCACACCATGTGTTAGTCACTCCCAGGTCACACCATGTGTTAGTCACTCCCAGGTCACACCATGTGTTAGTCACCCCCAGGTCACACCATGTGTTAGTCACCCCCAAGTCACACAATGTGTTAGTCACCCCCAGGTCACACCATGTGTTAGTCACCCCCAAGTCACACCATGTGTTAGTCACCCCCAGGTCACACCGTGTGTTAGTCACCCCCAGGTTCACACAATGTGTTACAAAAACACAAGGCCAATAAGCAGAATATTACACAGCAATGTGAAAGTTCATTATATCATATATATCATGATGATAGACATATAAATATAGAGCATAATTTATTGAACAAATATAAGATACAACATAACAAAGTCCTGTATAAGAGGTGACAACGATGACTATAAGCAGACAGTGGCACCATTTGAAACTGCAGAGCAGGGCTGTTCAACCATGTTGACTCAGGGGTACAAATGTTGAACATCACGGGCCAGCCCCAGCACAGACAGATTTTGAATACAATTAGTTAGTTATCATCATTGCACTCCGGACATGTCCATAGGTGCTCAGATCCTTCCCTCAGTATGAACCCAACGTCCGATGGCTAATAGTACCAGTTCTATGTTGATGTGTCTGGTGTGCATCTCATTTTTTACTATGCCGATCTTAATTCCCAAGTCTGCCATTCTGGTGAGTGTGGATTCACTGCCCCCAAAGTCCTCTATCCTTCTGTCAATACAATACAACTGGCAATGATATGTGGACCGTCTGCTAGGCCTTGGCAGGCTAGATTTGGCC